TTATTATTATTATTATTATTATTATTATTATTATTATTATTATTATTATTATTATTATTATTATTATTATTATTATTATTATTATTATTATTATTATTATTATTATTATTATTATTATCTAATTTCCAAAACCATACAATAACTTACCCAGGGCAACAGAAACTACTAAGTTCAATTCATAAGGAAGTTGACAAGTAGCGAAGGCTGCAGCAGAGCTATCGTACTCTCCTTTACTAGCTGTGATGATGGCCAGGCCTAGGAGTGGAAAATAGTATATTAAAACAGTGTATTAAAAATCACATTGAGCTTCACTGACTCTATTGTCTGCATTTTATTTTCTCTTATATTGAGGGGGTGCATGTTGGCATCACTGAATGATGCAAATGCAAATTGAATGTATTTGTTGTTTTAAATTTGAGGCGGAAAAGCTTAAGAAAAATAGACCAGTAGTTTGAAACTTCCATTACACTCCATGCATTGTTGAGGGTGTTAATTATAGTTTTGGGATGTCCCTTTACATTGACATGGACTTTTAACCCATGATTCTGTGATGTTTTATAATACAAATTACATTTAATCTCTTATTTTAAGATCATGCTGACACAGTCATTTAGTTTATTATTCATTAAAGTTGGTGACAAACAATGTGAAATTGCTAGTCATGTTTTCTTAAGCAGTCTGTAGGGACTTGGTAATTAATTACTTCATACAGTCTCAGTAATTATAAGAGCTATTATTAGAGCAAATTAAGCAGGAAATCAATTAAAGCACAGTTTCAATTTGTAGAGTATCCCTGACGTTTCCGCATTACTATGGAAGTTGCTTTTTAAACATATAGAACCATTTGTTTGACTACAAACCAAGTGTAAAATTAATAGTCATTTGAAAGGACATGCTGTAAATGTTAAAACAGGACCAAAGTTAATGAAAATGATTCCATAATTTTATGAAGAATTACTGATGTATACCATTTATTGATTTTTTTTAATGAAACCAAAACAGAAAATAAGGTAACATTTTAGGTGCTTTGATTTTAAATAAATACACTTTTAATGCAAAATACTTTTAGGTACTAGTTACTTTGCTGTCCTTTGTAAGAAACAGGTAAATGGAAGTGCAGAGAAGCCTGTTTCTCAAATGTAATTTAAATAGCACTTAGCAATAGCTAAGACTTATATACCACTTCACAGTGCTTTACAGCCCTCTCTAAGTGGTTTACAGAATCAGCCTACTGCCCTCAGCAATCAAGGTCCTCATTTTACCAACCTCAGAAGGATGGAAGGCTGAGTCAACCTTGAGTTAGTCAGATTTGAACTGCCAAACTGCTGTTAAGCTTATTAAATATCAAAAGCAGCTTTTGAATCAATTTAATGGGTTTATCACCCTTGTAAAACAGATTTATCATGTAATATATGCATGAATGTGTGTGTACGAGTAAGTAGGTAGAACTGGGACCTTTTGAATTTGCAGTGTTTCGTTTCCTTGTGTTATGTCAATTAAGGTTACAGGATGAAAAAAACTCTATGCCTGCAACATGCTCTAATGCTCTTGGATAAGATTCCTTCAGTACTATGTTGGGGTCATATAACTGGATAAGACTATAGTGTATTTCAATTGTCTTGGGGCATTTCCTAATAACAAATACTAAACTACCTGCCTTTTTTTGGGGGGTATATGTATGTGTGTGTGACTACAACTAGCTCAGATGATTAGAATTTAGAATCTGATGTTATGCATAAGTCTTGCTGAAGATGTTAGAAATAGGCCATGTTCACTCAAATTTCAATTATACATATGAGCACTCAATTTCAGAAGAGGAATTGTGTATCAAAAAATTGAAAATCGATGAAGAGGAATCTGGAAAAAGAAATAGAGAAGGGACAAAACCTCTCAGAATGTCTGTGGAAGCATTTGAAATTTGGCAAACATTCCATGAAAAAATATCACCAAAAGGATGCCAGAATGATGGATGGACCAAAACAAAGAAATTATCAGCGGGTTAGAAAGCTTTATTTGTAAAACTGCCCAAATGAGAATAAAATGAAACACAAACTGCATAAATGCAAAATACAAAATCAAAAGAAGGAATAAACAAACCCCCCCACCACAAAGGGTTTTCTTTCTTTCTTTCTTTCTAAAACATAGTGTAAATTCCAACAAAAATGAGACTTCTTTTTAATAATTTTTAAAACTATAAAAAACAGGGCATCAAGGCAACTAGATCACTGAATAAAGACAGACAGAAGGTAGCTGTTTTTATTGGAATATTAAAAATTACGTAGTACCTGTCCAGATAGTTATCTCTAGAACTCTTTTTAAAAAATGAAATATGAAATTTTGATGTAAAATGTGACCTCTAACAAAACTCTGCAGTTTGTCCCTAACACCTGTCCCCTTAGAAGTTGGGAAAGTGGTCACCAGACATGACTGCTGTATTCTATGTGAGATAAAAGCCATGCAATTCTAAATACCAGTTCATAGGAAGCAATAGCACAAGAAGGCATAGTTTGTATGTCCCATGTATGGGTTTCTCATTACTGCTTTTTACCCACTGTAGGAAACTGGTTGCATTGGAAATTATTGTTTCTTAGTATTTGGAAAGTATGCCTCAGGATATTCAGGCTAAAATTTGCAATTGCCTGTTTTGTGGCCACATAACATTACTGACTCATATTTAGTATTTAATCTATTGCTGTTCCATTCCCCCCCTTAAGTATTATTTCCGATGTCTGTCACCATTCTTTACCAATTTATTTAGAAAATTGATATAGGTGTCCATCTCACGTTTATGACTTTGAGTGGTATACAGAGTTAAAAACACAGAACAAAGCAATAAAATAATAAAAACCAGCAAAAAACTATTAAAATATTTAAAAACAATAAACCCATTAAAATTCATTTGAATGTGATTGGTGAGATGTTTCATTGACTTACTGATGTAAATTTATTGCAATCCAGTCATACTTATGGCTTCCTTTAAACTTGGCTCCCTTCATTTTGTGCATTTTTCTGATCTACTATTGTTAATGTTACTTATCATGATCACGAGTTTCATGAGGGCTTTTTTTGGTGTGTGTATATATATCTGTATTGATTCAGTTTAAAAATATTTCTGCAAGATAATTAGGATTCTGAATCAGTGTATTTCTTAAGTGGTCAAAGGCAGAAATGTCTTCTAGTAAAAAGAAAAGATTTTTCAGAAGTGTAGAAGTGTAGTGGATGGGCTTTTGTTAGTTGTCCTACGAACCCCAAAATATGTGCCTAGGCAAATTTTGATTGAATCAATCCAGTGATTATGTTATATCAGAGATATTAACAGATAGTCAAAAAAGTTGTCATGGTAATATACATATTTTTTTTCTAATTATTGTAATCCTTCCACTCCAACTAATATAGGAAGCATCTGTTATTTTGCAAAATGCTAACTCTGTTCTGATTTGGAAACCAGACTGAAAAACAGAATGCGTAGCATAATAAACA